CCCTTCATCGAACATTGCAAAACTTTGTATTTACCATTCGGCCCATAAAGGTTAACCGGAAGAATTTTAAATAGCTGCTTGGACGTCTGCTGTACAAGACGGCAATTATGCTTGTAAATATTTGTGTTGGCAGCCGGCATCAAACAAACAACTCTAGCCAAGTCACTAAGCCATGCAGAAAAATCTTCTACTGTGGGGTACCTATTCAGCGTAGCGACATGCTTGGCCCAGTCGAACTGCTTGTTCGGGGGCAAATCATTTGCTCTAGTAAGCAAACGTTCGATAAGTGCTGGTCACACTTCGCCAATTTCAAAAACGCTACCACATTACGCACCTTGGTAGAAAATGACACTATCTGCTCAGGCTTGTGATCGACTATAGTCGGGAGTTATTGTAATTTACTAAGCTGCTATTTTACTAAAATGTCGGGCCTACCGAACCTAAACTCCAACTCGTTCAACACATTTGGCACGTCGTCAGGGTAAATTAACATTGATGCCACTGCTTCTTTTGCTGGCCCCACCAAGCACTTTTGTAAACGCATTAAATTTTGTCGATTATTGTAGCTAAATGCCTGCGTAGTTTCATTAAAGTTGGTTACGAACAGAGGCCACTCTTCGGCATTGCAGCTAAACGTTGGCAAGCCGTATAATTTTACCGCCAAATCTGGCTGGCACAACTGTGTGTCTTACCTCGCTTGGTGCTGGATGTACAGTTACATTTTCTTCACTTTGTGGTTGCATTTCTTCTCGTAGCCTCACGATGTCCCTCTGGCTTTCCAGCGTTCTGTTCCGCAACTCTTCAACTGATGCCCGCAAGGCATTTAAAGTCGCGATAATAGCGTTCAAGTGGTCTTCACCCGCTGTGGCTAGCCGTACTGAATCCTCCATAATCGTACTTTCAAACGATGACTCGCTTTCGCTGGCTACCCTTTCCACCACTCGGCTCCGTAGAAAATAACTATCCGACTCGCGTGACATGCACCCCTTATGCCGGGCAGACGTATTAATAAGCTATAACAACTGCGCCGGTTTCGTGCCAGAAACTATGCAACTCCAGACCCACATCATGGTGACACACCCGAAAGTTGTAAAACTCAATACTGTTCCTCAAAAACGTACCACAAATTTTGCAAACTCGATTTTGTTCCTCGCAGACGTACCAGCAAGTGTTGACTCAATTTTGTTCCTCGCAGACGTACCAAATATAATGTTGAAAGCTGTAGAAATGATAAGACGATTGGCGTAGATTGACGCTTGTAGTTGGTGTTTATTTAAAATAAATTGCAATATAAAATGCTTAAATATTTGAACTTCTACTAGGCACGCTTAATTGCGCGCGTTTCAACACTGTATTTGGTCTGGCACGTCTACTCTCGTCGATATTTTCTTCGCCAATGATGGTAAGATAATTTTCCAGAATATTCGGTAGTGATGAGGAAATTTACAGCACAATGAAAAACAATGGTGGTGCCATCAGGGATACCGCTACTTTGGTTTTTACCGATTTGTATTCTATCATTCTGAATTTTGACGTATGTATGTATATGAATTAGAACGTGGGAATGTCACAGGGTGACTAACATTGAGTATGCTTACATATGTATATGTAATTCTGTGGCATTTTATTAAAACATATTAAATGACTTTAGAAGGTTTGACATTGAATTAAAAAATAATAAGTTTCGCTTACACAATTGACAATTGAGTGTGACATAGTCTCATAAAATTATAAGTCCGATGATACACCATAGCTCTGATCCAGTTCTTAATGAACTTACAGGATTTTACCCGAACTTGCAGGAAGTTCCAGGAAAAATGCTCTCGTTCCAAAATCCTGTAAATGAGAGCGAATTTTAGGAAGTTGTGTAGAGAATGAAGTTGCAAGATTTACCCGTACTTTTTCTTCTGGTAAAATCATGAAAAGTGTCAAGCAATCACTGGTTGACGTTTTTACGGGAAAAATGTTTTTTTTTTTGTTCCCGTACTTTTTGTTGTTACTCACTTTTTACTCTCATTTCAGAGAGTAATTTTGCTGTTTGCCAGTTTTACGGGATTTTTCACGAAAAGTATTGGATCAGAGCTAATTTAAAGTGTGATTATCAGGGCGGGTAAATTTTTTTACTATGCGCGTAAAGCATAATTCTAAGCGAATTTGCCGATGAAACAATGGCTCTAAAATCAATGTGGAGTTGCCAAATTGCGAATATAAGCCTTTCTTTACGACGCTACAGCGAAATGCTAATAAACCTATTTGCGCAGTTTGGCAAACTCCAAATTGATTTTAGACCCATGGATTCTTCGGCAAATTTGCTTCGAATTACACGTATAATTCTTTTGGGCTATACGCGCATAGTCCAAATACAAATTGACCCGCCCTAGTAATTATATTTCATTGTATACATTTTTTATATTAGTTGTAAAAATATCTATTACAATCAAAATTATCTCTGGCTGCTGCGACTATCAGCTAGTGATTGTATATTTAGATTTTTTAAACTTGGATTAAAAAAGGTCAATCAACTTTTATTTTAGTTTCATAAATTTTATTATTTCTGAAGTTAAGTTCTATAATCTCATTTGATCTTTTTCAGGTGATATAATTTAATGGAAAAGCAAACCTCTCTTTGAATTAGTAAAACATTTGAAATAATAATGTTAACTCGATTCCAGTTTCGCTTCACGTAACAGTAATAGTAACACGTAACAGCAACACACATGCATAAATCAGTGTTTTTACGAGGTCGTTTTGTCAGCATCGTTTGAACGACTATCGTTTCAAAGTTACGTGATTCATGCCCTGGTCTCTCAGTCTCTTGAAAGCATTGGAGTCGAAGAACAACAGCAGTTGGGTCATCATCATCATATAACAATAATAATAGATTGGCGCTTACACATATGTTAGTGTTTGGCCGAGCTTCTCCTCTGATTTGTGGCGTGCGCCTTGATGTTGTCAAATTTGCGGGAAATTAAACGAGCAATTTTTGAGTATATGTATATGTATCCATAAGTTTCTCGGCAACAGCTCTAACGTAGCAATATGAAAAATCGTTTAAAAAAAGACTTTCGAAGTTGTATTTCTTCCAATTGTCAAAAAACTTTTTATTTGTCACGGGGAAAATACCGTAAAAATTATTTGTATCGTGCGAATATCTATAGAAATTATCAGGGTTTGAAAAACTGTTAGCACAGCGACAACAGCCAAGCATTTGCTTTTTTATAAATTGTTGTTGCTTTGCTAGCCGGCAATTACAAGTATGATAATGAGCTTAGCCGACGACGCTTTAAAGGAATTTGAAGAAATGCGACAAGATGCAGAAAAAAACTTTCATTTGCTTTTCGAACACGTAGAAGAAGTATGCACCAACCTAGGTACAGAAATCAAAGTACCGCGATACAGCAGTCGCCAAAAGAATCGCTTTAATGTGAAAACCGGAGACGCCGCGGCATACTATCGCATTGCTTTTTACATTCCCTTCCTCGATACATATATTGCTCATTTGAAAAGCCGGTTCCTAAACCATAAATCAGTTTTAAATAATTTTAGTGTTTTGTTTCCAAAGTATGATTTTAACGAAAAAAAACTGAAGAATTGTTTGCTTTCTATGAAAAAGTAATCGACTGCTCGAAAAAAAACTTTCTTCTGGAGGTAAAAATGTGGGAAAAAGCGAGTTTCACACGAACATTTTCGAAATGCTCTCGAAGCATTACAAGTAGCTAGTACAACGTCTTTTGGGAATGTTTTTAAGATCTTACGTATATTGGCACTTTTTCCCGTTTCAATAGCCACACCTGAACGAAGCTTTTCAGGCTTGAAAAGAATTAAAACCTACTTGAGAAATACGACATGTCAAGAAAGGCTCAACTGTCTAGCATCTATGAATATTCACAAAGATATACATTTTTCAGTTGACGAAGTTCTAACCCCCAAAATCCCCCCGTGTATCCGCCACTGCTACTCACTTTTCATTTTTTACTTCCGTCAATACCCTTTTGCGACTTAAAAATTTGGAAATTTTTCAAGACTTATGTATGTTCATTTTCTATTTTCACTAGACAAACATTTTTGAATTGGAGAAAGAAGATCGCGTTAGCTAGGTATCCATGTAGTTGGAGTATTGTATTTAATACTTTTGAGATATGCGGCCAGAGTGTCAAATCACCATTCTGAAAGTTCTATGATCGAATCCTGGGGCCGGCTGAGAAATCTTTTTTTTAGTAACTATCTCATCAGGGGATTATTTTAACTATCCCACTTCGTTACTTTAATTCAATCTTTTTTAACTAGTTATGTTTAATTAAAATCAAGCTTTACACAATTATTGTTGCATATAAGAAAGTTGTAAGTATATGTGATGAAACAATGATTCAAGAGATAGAAAGTTAAACAGAAAAATTAACAGTATTTTGAAATGTATGCAATCACTAAAACTTGTTTCCTGCTTTTTCAGCACTTGCAGTTTAAAAAAAAACTGAATTATACATTCCTTACAAAAAATTATGCCATTAATCTCTCAACTGTTCCTAGATTAATCTCGTTTGGGTACAAGCATCAGCTTAAGCAACGAGATTTTATATGTGGCGTTGGCAAACAGATAGAGTGTCGCCTAGCATCACTGTGCACCGCGATTCGAATCTCATGCGAAGCGAATTTTATTATTTTTGATTTTTAAAAAGCGACTAGCTTTTATTATCGTTTTAGTCCTTCATTAGATATGCTAAAACAAAAGGGGACAACAAGAATAAAAAATATCGTGCTAGTTTCAACCGGTATTATAATTTCTATAAGACAAATTTTTTTTGGGTATGATAACTAAAAAGCATACGATAACGGTTATTGATAACCATTGATATATTGGATATTCTCACTTATATTCGTTCCGCGACCAAAATAAATTAAAGATAGACATTTTGCGCAACCATTTCATTCAAATGAAAAAAAAATCATTATTTTTGATCCCTGAAAAAATCTTAACTTCTCTTCATTTTTCTTTTCTGCAGCTACTTCTTTTCTTGGCGCGATCCTCAATTGAAAGGCGTGGAAGAAGATTGGTTGACAGCCAGAAACTTCTGTCGCAGACGTTGCATGGATTCAGTATCATTGGAAACTAGCTTAGAAAATGAATGGATAAAGCAGCGCGTAGTTAATGAAAACGTAAGTACACTGACCAGCGGCCAAGATTTTGTTACAGTCATTCCGCTTTTGGTATCTTTAAATACTTCATATAAAAAATTTTATAAGCACAACCAACGGGTCAGTATTGTTACAAATTTTAAAAATTCAAAAAACTAAATTCGTAATTTTTTTTATCAATCAGATCATTAGTTGAAAACCAAAATTTGTAAATGGCGAAAAATCGATAATAGACATTTTCTTCATGTTTGTTTCAAACTAGAGCTGCAAAACTATCGGTAGTGACGCCATTCGATAGTTTGAAAAATACTATCGATATTTTCGATAGTATCGTATAATACCGTGTTGTATATGTAGCGAAACTTCAACTCCGAACAAAATGTGTATAATATATACATATGTACATATGTAAATGTAAATATTTCCCATATGTAAATATAAATATCACATCTTAAACGTGAAATTCTAAATATTTTCCTTAGTTAAATTTACATCGTGACTTATTTAAGAAAAGATCATAAAATTTCACTGCACTGGCACTATCGAAACTATCGACTATCTCCAGAAAATAATCGATGTGTTTCCAAAAATAAAACTATCGATAGTACAATCGATAGTTTTGCAGCGCTATTGCAAACTAGATATACGGTTGCCAGACGTACTGATTTTATCAGTATAGTCCTGATTTTTCAACTCTTGTACTGATTTTATTCACTTTTTCAATCAGTACGCTAATGTCCTGATTTTTCAAAATTTGTACTGAATTTTCAGTTCAAACAAAATACTTTAGGACTTTCTTAAGCTTAAATTATTTAAAAAGAAGGCGGACATTGTTTTGTCGAGTGTTGTTAGTTATCTCGAAAATAATTTTCATTTTAATAATAAGAAATTTTTTATTTTTTTTTTAATTATACTTTTTGAAAGTGAAATTCAAATTAAAATTAATTTCAAAATGAAATGTATAGAATTCTTTGACTATTTAAACACTGAAAATGGAAATTATCTAATTTTTACAAGCTTTTATTTAACTTCACTTGTATGTATGTATGTATGTATCTTTGTATGTCCTGGAACTTTGCAGTCAATATTTAACAAACTTGCCGATGAGCTACAGACTTGAAACTTCAAACTTAGCTCAGTACGCGAGGGCAATGCAATATAAAAGATGACTTAATCCGCTAGGTGGCGCAGGAGTCGAGATATTTGTAAAACCCGCATTTATAGTCTGATTTGGTTCATATTTGGAACATATATTACTTATATGAAAAGAAATAAATCAAAAAAAAAAATGTTGCCGCTAGGTGGCGCAGGAGTCGAGATGTTTGTAAAACCCAAATTTATAGTCTGATCTGGTTCATATTTAGAACATATATTACTTGCGTGAAAAGAAATAAATTCGCAAAAAATTTTGCTGATAGGTGGCGCAGGAGTCGAGATATTTGGAAAACCGTATTTATGATCCGATTAAGTTCACATTTCAAATGCATATTGCTTACATGAAAAGAAATAACTACACAAAAAATTTTGGCAGTTATGTGGTATATAATTGAAAAATCGGCATCTGTGCTCCGATTTGGTTTATATTCAGAATATGTGTCTTACCTATTTAATTGAAATACATTGAAAAATTTGTTTGTTAAGGTCAAATCTAGCACGTTAGGTAAAAAGTGTAGCTAAAAAGCAGGGTGCGGAAAATTTTCTTCACATTGAAAGAAATGGACAGAGTGAGAAATATACAGACAGTATAATATTAATTGCAAGATTTCAAAAAACTAAAAAGTAGAAAATAAAATTATAGTTAAAAAACTATAAACACTCTTTTATTACAATAAGAACTAAAAAGTATAAAATAATTTATAGATATAGCGATTCCGTTTAAGAAGAATAGGAAGTTCACTGACTTCATCTAATTTACCTTTTTTAAATTAGCTAAAAATAGGATTAAAGTGATTGGCCCGTAGTCATAGTCAAAATAAAGTCCACTGTAAAGTTTGTTGCAATTTTTTACAGATATCGCATTGAAAATTATGTCAATATGCTGCAACTAACTTTACAGTGGACTTTATGTATGGAATTACTGATTGTACGGCAACTTCGCAAAGGAAAAAATAAAAGAGCTGTTGCTGCTGTGCTGACAGTTTTTCAAACCCTTATTATATGTTACTTACATTCATAATTATGCTTTGAGTAAAAATGTACTGAAAAGTACTGATTTTTTTAACATGAAAAAGTCGAACGTACTGATTTCGCGCATAAAAAATCTGGCAACCCTAACTAGATAGTATCGATGGTTTTTGACTATCGAAAACATCGATGGTTTTGGAAGCACTATCGATAGCTTTCACTCATACATACATTATTCAGCAATATACATATTTCAGAGCGCAAATGCTACTTGAAGCCAAAAATCGTTGATAAACTTTTGTTCTCTTCTTCTTCTTTTCTGGCGCTGTAACCGCATAAGCGATTTTGGCCGAGTTCAGTAAAGCACGCCAGTCGTTTCTCCTCTGTGCCAACTGACGCCAATTGGAAACGCCAAGTGAAGCCAAGTCCTTCTCCACCTGATCTTTCCATAGCAGTGGGGGCCTCCCTCTTCCTCTGCTACCACCAGCGTGTTCCGAGTTGAATACTTTCAGAGCTGGAGCGTCGGTGTCCATTCGAACGAAATGACCAAGCCAGCGGAGCCGCTGTATTTTAATTCGCTGCACTATGTCCATATCGTTGTAAAGCTCATACAGCTCATCGTTCCATCGTCTGCGGTACTCGCCGTCGCCAACGCGTAAAGGCCCGTAAATCTTCCGCAAAATCTTTCTCTCAAACACTCCAAGAGCCGCCTCATCGGATGTTGTCATTGTCCATGCTTCTGCGCC